TGGGTCATGCCTGGCTTGGCAGGATGGAGCTCCCTTAGGGGCGCTGTGACTGAAGAATAGACCTGGGATTTAGGATACCTGGGTTTCCTTCTTGGTTCTGCTGCTGGCTGGCTGGGGGCAAGTTGCTTCACCCCTCTGTACCTCAGTGTCCACTACTGAACAGCAGCGACAATGATGCTGCCCGCAGGGATGCTGTGAAGTGCCTGAATCCTTGGGGTTGCAGCACATGCCACTGGCAGGTGGTTAAACTGGGATGGGGCATGGCTGAGGCATCCCACTGAGCTGCCTGAGATCTGAGTGGGTGGGGTGCTCCCTGTCGGCCCTCGGCATCAAAAGCTAGTACGCTAGCCCAGCTTCCTTTGGGCAAGGGTACTGCAGGGACTGCAGGCAGTATGGATCCACTGAGTTGTATGCATGTCACTCACAAGGACATCCATTCTCATGCAGGTACTGGCGCTTTAATGAGGACGCCCATGCTGTGGATCCTGGCTACCCAAAGCTGATCACTGTGTGGGTGGGAATCCCCTCTACCCCAAAGGGGGCTTTCCTGAGCTCAGACGCTTGTAAGTGAAGATTCAGGAGATCTTCTGCCCAGACATCCACACCCCTCACAGGATCCCCACCTAGCTGGGAAATCCTGTATCCTGGCACATCAGTGTCCAAGGGACCGAGCCATGGCTGAGGTAGATGGACCCCAGCTAAGGTTCTGGCTTAGAAGCCACCGGATCAGTGTAACCGTACTACTTCGCTTGTTACGGTGGTGGGGGGCCATGCAGTTTTGGTTCCAGTGAGAGCAAGGACAATACTCAGGTTTCCAGAAGCCTTTCCTTTAACATCCTGACCCCTAGCACCAGGATCTCCTTGGTCAGAGACTGCAGCCCTGACACCAAAGGGTTAATGCAGCAGTAAGATTAAACTATCCTAGTGGCTGCTGGTGCTGAAAAGCAGCCTGGCTTCATCCCCTAAGCTGGGAAAGGACTCAAGATAGCACTCTTGCCCTGGCAGAGCTCCTTTTTCCTAGTTAGAGGAAATCCAATTTCCTCTGCTCCTTTTCCTGGTTGCTGGAGTAGAACCTGGCTCACCCATCAGACTGCAGCTCCCATTCAACAGTGCACTGAGCTGCTGCACTTCCCCGGGGGTGGGGCGAATGCCAGGGAATACCAGGGGAATTGGGGCATGGCAGGAGCTGGGATACTGGAGGGAGGTGGCTTTGTTTGTAGTCTGACAGGGAGTGACAGGGGACAGGATACCAGATGAGGCAGCTCCTTAATGTACAAGAACATGGTGAGCCCCTAGTGCTTTCTAGCATTGTGGGTGGTACCTCTGGTGATGCCCTTTTCTGGTCTCTTCCAGCCTACACCTATTTCTATAAAGGCACCAAGTACTGGAAGTTCGACAATGAGCGTCTGAAGACAGAGCCAGGCTACCCCAAATCCATTTTACGGGATTTCATGGGCTGCCATGAGGAGCTGGTGCCAGACCCTGACCGCCGATGGCCTGACCTGGACAGGCCTCCTTTCAACCCAGATAGCGGGGGCACTGGCAGTGACCAGAACAAGGAAGAAGGGGAGGCTGGAACACACCCTGGTGGCAGGGAGGAGGAAGAAGAGGATGAAGGAAACGAGGATGAGGAGGACTACAGTGAGAGCGGGCCTGGCACAGACAAGGGCAGCGATGTTGACATCGTGGTGCAAATTGACGAGTACACACGGACCATGAGCATCGTTATGGTGATGGTGCCTCTGGTCCTGCTGCTCTGCATTCTGGGCCTCATCTATGTCATCATCCAGATGCAGAGGAAGGGGGCTCCCCGGATGCTGCTGTACTGCAAGCGTTCCTTGCAGGAGTGGGTTTGACCCTGGACGGCCCCTGCGTTCTCCTGGATCCCTTCAGTGTCCCTCCCCCTACCACCATGGTGCTAACAATGAAGCTTGAGAAGAGAAAGCCCCCCCGAACCATTCTCTCTTAGCCGGTCTATTTATACCGAGATTTTGCACATTGAGTTGGATGCGCTCAGCTGGGCCTGCCTGCCCCTCAGTTGCTTTGCCTTGTGTGTGTGGGAGATGCCTCCTGGACCCCTCCTCACCCACCTGGCTACCTGCCTTTTCTCAGCCCAGATTGAGGAGCACAGCAGAAGAACTTACCTGGGGCCCCTTCCTGCCAGGCACTGGGGGCAAGGCAGCCACCCCACAAACCAGTTTGCTCTGTCACCCCTCCCCGGTAAGGCAAGCTGGCCTGTGCCCTTCAGCCATTGATTTCTTCTGGCTGCAGGCCTGGGCTTAGAGGCTGGTCTTTGAGGGTCAAGCATTTGTTGGGGAAGGAACAAGGAGTTCCTGTGTCTGCCTCGCAGGAAACATATGGACCCCAGGCAAAGAGCAGGTGCTGTGTAGCTTCCCCTTACAGAGCCAAAGCCCCAGTGCATTGGTGGGCATTTGGACTTTGTGCCCTCTTCTCAGCTCTCCTTTCTGGTGCAAACTCTGTGCAGCACCCCATCCATGCCTAATGGGACAGAACTGTCAGCACCCCTCAGCTCGGTGCCTCCCTGACAGGGCTCTGAGCCCAGCACCAAGGACCAGCCTCTAGGATGTTTCCAGTTGTCGCGCGCGCGTGCGTGCGTGCGTGTGTGTGTGCATTGTCTGTCCCCCTACCACTGTGTCCCTGCCCTAAAACATGGGGGAGATCCCTTCTGTGTGCTTCACAGGCAGTCAGAAGGTAATTCTCCAGGGAAATGTCCCCCAACCTCACCCCATCCCCAGCCTGCAAGGGAAAATAGTGCATCCACAGCAGAACATCACAGGCCCTATTGGTATTGCCCCAGCTGCTGGGCTCCTAAGAGAAGTCCTGGCCCTTTGGCAGTATCCAGGAGACCCTCTGGCAAGGGCTTTTGTTTCCCCTTCCCCCTGGGCTTGGTGAGAGGTTGGAGGTGCCAGCCCCAGCCATCTTCCTACATTAGGTGAAGGAGCTGCTCAGTGCACTGATACAGAGGTGTGGGACACCACTGCTCTGTACCCTTATCACATTGCCCCATTCTGACATTGCTAACTTCTAGCAGCATCTTTTCCTCATGCTTAGTGCACACAGCAGCTGCAGGGCTGGGGGTAAGGCCCTTTTTGGAGACCTTACCTCAGAGCCCTCCTTGGGCTTTGGACATTGGGTTTCCATGATGTTTCCACACCAGATCATAGCAGGGGCCAGTGACATGGGGTGGGAGGTGAAGATGGTTGTGTTGTCAGCTGGAGAACTAGATTTAACACCTGGTTTAGCTCACAAGTGACATGAGTTCAATGGTTTCAGTCTCTAGTGGGAATCTGAATGGGGGTTGGCCTGACTGAACTGAAGTCCCTGTTTTGGAGGGACAACAGGGTTACAATAGCAAGGGGGTGGCAGGGCAAGAGTGAAGGGCATCGGCTGAGCTGAGGGGGACCCAGGACTGGGGTTGTTGCAGGGCAGGTTGAGGGGCAGTGGCAGAGCTGAAGGTGCCAGAGAAGCTGCCTCCACCTGTACTTGCCCCATGCTCCTCTCAGACTGCTGCTGATTATCCTCTTGACCCCTGTCCAGTATAACTCAATGCCCCTTGGCTCCCACAGTCTGCTGAGCCGCTTTCTGGCTGGGGGGGTGCCAGAGGGAGGTGGAGATAACATCATTGTATTTGTTTCCTGTTTAACTGTTTGTATCTGGGAAACGAGGGGGGGGGAGGGGTGTGTATCCTAAAGATAGCCGAGGTCTTAGAGACCTGGGAAAGCTTGCTAGGAACTGAGCAGCCAGTGCTTTCAGCCCAAGCACTTCATGCTGCTCAATTCCCACTGGGGCCTCCACTGAGTTGGAAGATGCTCTTGTGTTTGAAACCACATACTAAACTGCTTTTCATCTGCTTCCTCCTCCCCTCCTTCTCCTCTGGCTTCCGAAACAAACAGAAACCTCCGGTGACTGTGGGGACAGCTCCGGGAAAGCAGCAATCTTTGCTGCCCAGCCCCCACTGCCCCCCTGTGCATTGTGGGTAATCGGAGTCTTGACCATACTTTTGCCTGATTGGCCTTGCCTGAGATCTCTGTTGAGCGAGAGCAGCTCCCTGGGCAGTTCCTGATTAGATAAAAGTTTCTTGGGAGACTGGGGGAGGTGGGATTGAAGGCACTGCCTGGAATAAAAATAGGCATTTTAGAGGCACTCAGGCCTCTGGGGACAGAGTTGTAGATGCTCTCCTGAGCAATGGCATGGTCAGCAATCTGGGAAACACCACTGTCATGTGGATTAATGGCCACTGTGCAGGTGTCTTATAACTGCTGGAGTATTAATAGTCTAGAGCCTTTAAAGAGGTGGTGACGCTTCACCATCCAGCTCTGCCTCATAAGCTGGAATCCATGAGGACTGTGTAGTGGCAACAGGGAAGCAGCAGAGCCTGGTGTCCACATCCCTCCTCTGGGGAGGAACAGTGGACCCTCTCTGCTTTCCTTCCATCCATTTCCCCATTCTAACACCAGACATGCTGACTGCAGGAGGACATTTTCTGTGTTGGCTGTGAGGTGGAGAAACGGACCTTGGTGTGGGTCCCCAGTGCCTGTAACATGGGTCAGAGATGGCCTGGCAAAATTTTAGTTACCTGGGGCAAGTAAGGGTTATGCTGTGGTTGGGGAGCTATCAGAGTCCTGTTATCAAGGTAGGGGCTGGTGTCTAGGCTTGTGTCGTGTCTGGACTAATCCATTTCCATGAGGATGGCAGCCTGTAGACAAGATGAGGGCGTCCTACCTACAACTCCCTCGAGGCAGTGTTCCATACCGGCGACATGCAGTCAGCAAGGTCATTGCTGGGCTATAGTAGGTATGCTCAGAAACTATCCCAGGTATACTGGTTTCTTCCTGGTATGCATCTACTGGGAAATTGATTATAGAATTAACATGGCAGAATCATCATATCAGGAGGCGCTACTTCACGGCCAGGGCAGCTAGGATCTGGAACCAACTTCCAAGAGAAGTGACACTGGCTCCTACCCTGGGGGTCTTTAAGAGGAGGTTAGATGAACACCTTGCTGGGGTCGCCAGTACTCTTTCCTGCCACGGCAGGGCGTTGGGCTAGATCTACTCAGGTCCCTTCCGACCCTAGAAACTATGAAACTATCACAGCCTCCCAGGTAACGTGGCACTCTAGGCGTTTCAGTCAGCAGAGCACGTGTGCGTCTCAGCCCCAAGCTGTCACTTTGTCCTTGGCATAGAGCTATCAAGGGTGTAGAACTACCAAGCAGAGCTGCTGCTTGCTCTGAGGAACCGGAGCGGGACTAAGGGTATCCCTTTGAAGGACTCAGACTCTGCTGGCAACCTCCCCTTCTTCCCATCTGTCTCTGTGCATGGGAAAGCTCTGTCCCAGATTCCATCTCAGAGACCAGGAACGCGGTCACCTTTGTGTGGAAAAAAGTATTTCTGTTGCCACCTGCCTTACTCGGAGCCTTCCCAGCACCACTGTGCCAGAGCCATTCCTCTCTTTGAGTTTGTTTGGGAGCAGGAGCTGGGTGGGAGCCAGGGGCTTGCATAGTCATCTGTGTTAATGAATGGAAAATTGTTCCATTTTAATCACACAGGTGTGCCCTGGAGAAAGTGCACTTCAGGCCAGCATGGCTGGCATGGCTCCAGGGCTGAGTCCAGCTCCCTTTCTCAGCCCTGCCTTGTGGCAGGAATCCTATGCCCTGCCTCCCCCACAGACAGCTCTCCACTGCCCAAGCAGCACAGCTATCATGGAGCATGTGTCCAAGCAGAGGTCTTTGCTTCTCTGGCCTACAGGAGGGGCTCCCCAGGGTGATCTCTCTAAGGAACCGGATCTGTGCTGGGATTGGAGTCAATTTCCCCCTGCCTCTGAATGGGCTAAAGTAGGATTTAGCCAGAGAAGAGAATTGTATGGCTGTCTCACAAACTGTTAGGATTACAGGCTGAGTTTGGGCATCCTAGGCTGTCAGCCTGTGTCTACCCAGCAGACCCCGTTTAAATCTAACATCCCCTTGAGAGTCCCTCACTAGGCAGTGAGCCCCTCCATTTACAGTGTCCCCATACATGCCTCCAGGAGCAATGAAGCATTGGCTGGAGCACAGTGTTGTTTCCCAGCCTCACCAGTACAGATGTTCCCACAGAGCCTGTCTGTGACCAGCTGTCCTTTTCCATCCCTCACATCTTATCTCCCTACCTACCCACCCATCCCATCTCTCAGCTTATTCCCTCCATCAGGGCATGGGAAGGGGAAAAAGGCAAAGGAAATGAATGGGGGTGTGGCTAGCCCCAACCTCAAGCAGCCCAGCTCCATGGCCTGAGAGCAAGGCATGTGGCTGGAGCAGGCAGCTATCTGATGTGTGCCGCAGCCTGTGGTGAGATCCTGCCAGACCATGTCCTGATCCCCATCTGTTTCTTGCGTGTGTCTGGTTTGTTTGTTGTTTTTTAACATCCATGCTGGTCATGTTAACTGCTCCACAATAAATCTTACTGAAGGACCTGCAGGCCACTGCCTCTTGCTTCCCTGCAGGGCTCCCAGCAGCCTCTCCAATGAATCTAACATTATCCAGCATCCATTAAGCCCGAGGTCAGGGGAAATTAGCTGCAGCTCTACTCACTTGGCTCTTGCTCCATCTCAATGCCCTAGGGGCTGTCCGACAGCCCTGTGCTCCATAGCCCCTCCCCCTGCATTGCACACAGCTGGACTCACGGATACTCTAAAACTGGGGGGGCAACTGGAGCAATTTCCAGTCTGGGCTGGGAGAGACCAGGCAGGTTCTGCTTCCTATTGCCATGAGAGTGCAGCCCCCTGGCCTTTGACTGCACCAGGCTGTCAGGACGGGTGATCCTGATGGGTGCTTAGCAGGCCCCAAAACATGCTCAGTACCCTGAAATCAAGAGACCTGACCCTGTGAGAGCCTGAGCACCATCAATTCTCACTGCAACTGGTGACTATGGAGGGGGCTCAGTACTTCACAAGATCAGGGCGTGAGGGAGGCAGGGAGCAGGCTGAGAGCATCAGTCACATGCACCTGCAACCTGCTAGGCTTTGGCTTCAGTGGACATGGCAGGGGCTCTGCATTGTGTCCAGTCATGTCTGCACCAGATACAAGAATGGCTGGAGCTCTGTTTTGAGAGCTGTGGTAAAGATCTTGCCCAGAAGCTTCCAGCTGGCCTGGTAGGGGCTCTTTTCTACAGGAGTGGGAGATAAACCCATTGGGCACCTAGTGCAAGTATCCAGACCAGGGCAGTGGGGCATCCTTTCAACTGTTCCCCAGTGGGCCTCACACAGCTGGGGTGAAGAGACGGAACTGCCCATGGGTTATAACACTGCTTGTTGGTCCTATTGAAGGCTGCTCCATTACTTCTGACACCTTTTCCTATCCCAGGTGCCCCAGACTACCCTCATGACATGCCAAGTTGTGTGATAGTGCCACAGTGCTGTAGGGACTAGGGAAGCAGCTATGAGCTCTGGTGACATGGAGACCTGCTCCCACAGGAGCTGGAAGGGGAGGGAGGAGGGAGTGGGGGGGTTAACATTAATTACTGTGAAAGTGCTATTGTAGCCCTAGATTTTTCTCCATCCAGCCCCTCCACTCCACACAGGGACCAGATCTCTTCTGCCAGAATCCTTGTGTTTATGAATGAAATGGGTAGTATTTGGCTTCTGTCAGCATTTTCTGAGCCCAGTGACTGTAACCACGTGCAAATGAGAAGCCAATTTTGGGGTCAGACAGATCTCTCTCTCTCTCACACGCAAACACACACACACTCCCTCTCCCTCCCTCTTTCCCCTGGTTTTCTCCCACTAATTCTCAGAGGTGCTGCACTCCTGTGGCCCACACTGGTTTCCATCAGGGTTGTGGGCACTCAACATCTCTGGTGATCATGAAGCCCTAGACAGGAGCCCAGATATCCCTCTGGTGCTGGTCTGAGGGGCTGCAGAGACCATGCTCAGCTGTTGGCCAGAGGAGGGGTTGGAGAGCTGGGTAACAAACTTCAGCAGTGATCCCTGTAGATCATTTTAAAATGCACCATCTAATTCTGTTATGCCACACAAGGGCAGCTGCCAAATAAAGCCTCCCAGCTGGGAAAGGTTAATGGGAGGATTAACATTCCTGAAGCAGCAGAGCTGTATAACTAGCAGTATTGTTGGCACTTAAGCACTGTGGTGCCCTAGCCCTTCAGAACTGCTCTTGCTGGCTAAAGGATAAGTGACTGACCCCTAGTATTAGATAACTCACTAGTGCACCAATGCATTTGTGGGTGCCCCTCACCAAGGCATTTCTGACCTGCTATGCTCAGGCCTCTCCAGGGGTGAGTCAAGGGCGATGGAGCAGGAAGGAGTTTTTGGTGACAAGGCAGTGACTGCTACAGAGAATGTCTCTTTGTCTGCTTCTTCCTGGCTCTTGGAGATGAAGCTGGCAACTTTCTGGCATCCTTCTCCACTTAGGGCTTCTGAATACTTTCCAAGGGGGGGAAGGGGGGCCATCTTCAGCACCAACCTGGCCTGGGGAACAGAAGGGGTGTGGGCAGCAAGGGCAGGAGCCAGAAACCATGAACTTTCCCTGCTGAATGAACTACCAAGTTGGAGCTTGGCCATGGAGCTGCTTCTTCAGGAAGTCACATCAGGGGCAGCACAGACCTGCCTGAAGAAATTTAGGTATGAAGGAGTGTCCACTTGAAGGAACAATGAGGCTGCTGTGGGTCATGGGGGGCCTTGTAAGGAAAGGCTGTTTTTCTTGTGTTTGGCTGCTTCCAAACAATGAGCTAGTGAGGACCAGCCAGCCGTACTGGGGGAGGGAGGAAGCTGTGGGGTGGGTGGAAAGTTCCAGCATTTAACTGTAGCTGTACAAACCCCCAGTTCAGTGTGAAAGGCCAATGCTGCTGGACTTGCTCCCCCTCTGCTATTCCACTTTGTGCCCAGGTCTGCCTAACCCCACTCCTCCCCTCCCCTCAGCCTGAAACCTCCTACCCAGCTCTGCCAATGTCCCTCACTCTCAGTTTCCAACACCCCTTGCTCTTCCAGTCCTGAGCTCCCCCTACTGTTTTCCCATTGCACCTCTGTCAGGACAAGCAGGGGCTGCTGTCCCCCCATTGCTACCAGTACACCTAAAGCAATCCTGACCTACTGCCCCTCACCCATTCCTCTTCCAATCCTGGGATCCCCTGCCTGGCTCCAACAATGCCCCTGCATCCCCTTCTCCTAGTCCCAAGGCACCCTTGAGCATTCAGTGCCAACCGCACTGCATCCTACCTACTGATATCATGTGGTCACTAGGGGCAAACATTCCTGCTGACATAACTCGTGACTTCAGTGGAGCCCCAGGGTGCTGGGACCCTGATCTTAGCCCCTAATTGCTTTGGTAACATAAGGTATTTTTAAACTCCAGTCTCCACCAGCCCAGGAAAACCATGTAACTGCCATCACCTCCTGTCTACCACTTCTTGAATCCACCAGCCTCTTATATTCCTGTGCAGTGCCAGATATCTTAGCCTCCTCCAAATACTGTCAGGCAAGCTACCAGCCTCTTGCTTCCATGGCGCCTTTGCTTCTAGCTCAGCAAAGCCAGAGAGCAGCTGGAGGATGCAAAGACCAGAACTTCTTAGCAACCTTATCCTCACTGACTTGGCTGAGGTCCCCTGTTTTCCAGCCCATGAGAGATCTGAGAAGCTTCAAGCCAATATAAGCTGTTATCAAAGAGCACAGCCTGACATGGACCACAGAGTAAACAAAAACAACAGGTTTCAGGGCCGTTCCCTGTCGATAGCATCCTCCAGATACAGCAAGGAGGGAAAATGCTGAGGGGACACAGTCTTCACTGGGCCAAGCATCAAATACAGATCTGGTGTTGTCTGCAGAACACCAGCCCCTCTTCTGCAGCTGCTGGGTTCCAGGGACAACATGTGGGAAGGAAGCTGTAACAATGGATAGAAAGCCAAGTTGGGAGGCACCTCGATAAAGGGGAATCATTTATGAGGCAATAAAGTCTGTATTTCTCTCTGCAATCAGCCTCCTGTGATCTCTTGCGAGTAATCTCTTGGTGTCGATACTGCATGGAGAAGAACCTGGATAGGTGGGTCTCAAGAGCAAAGCTGTTGTCTTCTCCAGGTCAGCTCCCCACCATCCATACTGCCAGGGCCCTGGGGGTTCCCAGGGCCTTTATAATGTGTCTACCCAGCTGTGCCATGGTCCAGACAGGGAGCCCATTCCCACAGCTGCTGCCAGGTCTTTCCATTGAAATCAGTTGTAGTTTTCTGTATGGAATAAGGCCAGTGTTGGGCATACAGAAGCCAGATTCCTGCAGAGTTCATCTCAAACCTCAAACATGAGATGGCAACATCACTTCTTTCAAGCCATAGTGCAGCCAGCCCAGTCTCTGACAGTGGTCAGCCCCACCATCAGAAAAAAGTGTCCCATGTCTCATGCTGGAGCACATTATTTCCTCAGGGAGAGAAGTTTCTCCCTGTCCCCTGTCAGCTGCAGAGTAACATGCCCTGAAACATAAGGGTCCTTATCACTTGTAAACGTTTAATCCTATCAAACAGAAAATTGGACATTCTTATTCACATAATATTAATATAACTCATATGATCCTACTATGAATCCAGTTCACTTCTTAGCCTCAGAAATATCCAATGACTGCAGCTTCCTCCGAAGCTACTTAAGCCTGGGTGAGGAAAGTGGATGGAAACCCTTCCCTCAGTGTTCACCTTTGAGCCTTTGATTCTCCTGGGTGCCTAGTCATCCTACTTTCATAAGGAGCACAGGGTGGACCTTCTCTGGTAACATATACCATCCTCTTAGCCTTGCTGCAGAAATTATAGGAGAATGCAGCAGGGAAGACTGCCCCTCTAAGGGTCAGAAGGCCTGGGGATGAGAATGCCATTAGCCCTGCCTGCCACATCTGATGTGTGTCAGGCTTCTGAGAAAGAAGTGCAGAAATAGGGGCTGGCGAGGGAGGAAAGGGTAGCTGCTTTTATGGAAAGCTTTGGGGAGACTGGAAGGTGCTGGTAAGGGACATGTAGCAGCTCCCAGTTCATGGCAAAGTGAGGTGAAAGGAAAGGTGGTGAGGTAAGGGAAAGAAAACATCTTCAAGGAGAAGTATGGAGGTAAAAATGAGGGATGGACAAAGCTGGCTGGAGCCCACAGGATGGGGCAGGCCTAGGGTCTAGACCCGGTGCCCAGAGGAAGGGCTTCTAAGAATCCAGACAGGCTGCCTCATGCACATGAGGGTGACCCAGCTGGAGGATCAAGTCCTGGCCTGGACCATGGGAGCTCTGCAAAAGGAACTGAGACAGGGAGGCTGGAGGTTTCTGCTGAAGGAAATGCTCCAGAAGGGCCATGGGGCAGTGTATTCTCCAGCACACATTTCTGTTTATAGAATCATAGCATCACTGAGTGGGAAGGGACCTAGACAGATCATCGAGTCCGACCCCTGCCATGGGCAGGAAGGAGCACTGGGGGTGGCAGGGGTCATAAGACCCCAGCCAGGTGCCTATCCAGTCTCCTCTTGAAGATTTCCAGGGAAGGTGAGAGCACCACCTCTCTGGGAAGCCTATTCCAGGCTCTGGCCACCCTTACA